CATTTAATAAAGGTTTGTGGCACACATGCCTGCATGCAGCAAAGAGTACGTGAATGCATGGAGCCCTGCCTTGGCCCTCAGTTACACTCCAGCCCTCTCCACGTCTCATTTTCCTACCACGAAAAGGCTTCCTGGTCAACTGAGACCACGTTCTGTTGAAACTAACATCCTGTACATAAACGGTCCTTAGTAAAAACAGCTCCTTTTTCTACACTCCTGGCTTTGTATGAAAGGTCCTGCCACTGGGTGAATGTACTAAATAAATAAAGACCTGGGCACCTCAGAAACCTTACCAACAGTTCCAGTTTGGGCTGAACCTGGGAACTAGCGTTTTGTAAGTATACCCATGACTTCACCTCGACCCATGAAAATGGATTAGTGTCCCAAATTCCATCGCACACACATACACGCTTTGGGGAAGTTAGATCTATTTTGCTTTCAACCAGAAACCTGAGGGGATTATTCCTATCTCTGAGACAATCCCTGCTTCCCAATAAACTGATCCTTCTCCCCAAACTGCCCTTTCTCCCTGATGCACACCTGCCCAGGAAATGACCGTCTCTTGCACTCACCTACCCAAAGACTTTTTTTCCTTCAGGACATAAATTGATGTGAATGAGGAAAAGCACAATTCTTAGAAGCCCTTAAGTTTGGATATCTTATTGAGGCATTTCCCTCTTTGCTGTAATGTGGACTCTTCTTCCTTTTTTTGGTTGCATTGGGTCTTCGTTGCTGCGCCCGGGCTTCCTCTAGTTGTGGTGAGCGGGGGCTACTCTTTGTTGCGGTGCACGGGCTTCTCATTGCGGTGGCTTCTCTTGTTGCAGAGCACTGGCTCTTGGCTCACGGGCTTCAGTAGTTGCAGCACGTGGGCTCAGTAGTTGCAGCTCGTGGGGTCTAGGGCATGCAGGCTTCAGCAGTTGTGGTGCATGGGCTTAGTTGCTCCAGTGCATGTGGGATATTCCCGGACCAGGGCTCGAACCCGTGTACCCTGCATTGGCAGGCAGACTCTTAACCACTGAGCCACCAGGAAAGTCCTGTGGACTGTTTTTAGACTACAGTAGAGTAGCTATTTGTCTCTAAATATTATATCCATTCTGAACCTTGTACAAGAAAAAAGAAAAATCAATGTTTAATTTAACCAGTTGAAAGTTACCTCGTACTAAAGGGTTATAATTTTGATCTTTAAAACAGAAGAAATTGGGACTTCCCTGGTGGCGCAGCGGTTAAGAATCTGCCTGCCAATGCAGGGGACGTAGGTTCGATCCCTGGTCCGGGAAGATCCCACATGCCACAGAGCAACTAAGCCCGTGCGCCACAACTACTGAGCCTGTGCTCTAGAGCCCGCGAGCCTCAACTACTGAGCCCACGTGCCACAACTACCAAAGCCCGCACGCCTAGAGCCCGAGCTCCGCAATGAGAGAAACCACCGCAATGAGAAGCCGGCACGTCGCAACTAGAGAAAGCCCCCGTGCAGCAATGGAGACCCAATGCAGCCAAAAATAAAATAAATACAATAAGTAAATTTTTTAAGAAAACAAAACCAAAAACAAACCAGAGGAAATCAAACTTTTTTTTTTTTTTTGCCTGCTCTATGAAACGATCCTTCATTCTGTAATTGACCACATGGTTTGGAGAATTAGGAGGGGCCACAGAAAAGGGTCCATATTACCCATTTCATACTTGACCATTTTCAACCCTGCTCTACCTGCTTCCCAGGGGAGGGGCAAAGAGTAAATGAGATGATCTGTTTGTCCAGGAAGGCCTGGCCAGTGTGGGGAATGCCGCTGTAACCAGCAGGGTGTGCTGTCCATCAAACTGGGCCCAGAGCAAAGGGCACAAACCAGATTCCCCACCACCGCAGAAAATCTCCACAGGGCTCAGATCTCACACTTGCTCTATGTCAGGATATCACAGAGTAATATCCAAAACGCCCCAGAGAGTCTCTTAATTGGGTGGAAACATGTTAGAGGAAGGATTAGGTGCAGGGTGTAAAGGTTTGTGCTGAGCTGGGGCTGAGTGATTAATTAGCACTCTCAGGACTTGCTCTCTCCAGGAGAACCCACTGGCTGAGAAGGGAAAAAAGAATTCATTCAGAAACACCATGGGGAACACACATCCGTCCTGAGTTTCGAGGGGAGGGGTCCACAGGGACCGCCACAAGAAGCATCCTTCTGATCCCAGCCCTCTCTGTTTCCCATAATGCCCAAGGTGAGCTAGTGCAGAACTGTATCCAACATCCACCATGAAGAGTTCAGGGGGCTGTCGGTGGGCCAGGGAGAAGAAAGGACCAGGGAAGACATTTAGAGGATTTTTCTGGGCAGAGGTTTGGAAGGGAGACCCTCCGTAACATTTCACTTGGTTGGGGGAGTGGGCAGAGGAGCTAGAATATAATTTTTATCAGCGTACAATCCCAAATACTGAACAAAAAGGCAGGGCTCTCTCCAGTTAGCAAGCAGCCTTGTGAAAAACGCATTGCAGAGTATGTACAATTTGGCACTTATTCATCTCTCCCAGGAATGCCCTAAGCAGCAGGGATAAAACAGAGCGAACCGAGGAGCTGCCAATCATAGGGCAGATAGACGAGGAGCAGCTGAAGGTATGATGATCAGAAATGGACGGAACGCTTCCAGAGGTGTTTGGCGCACAAGCACAGGGAAGGGAGTTCTGCTGGGGAACTCTACGGACCCTTCCAATTTTGAGAGTATGGTTGTCGAAATCCAGACAGCACTGAAAAGAGAGCGAAGGCCACTCTAGAGACTGAGGGCACTGCCATCAGATCATAACTGATGAAAGCATCTTTACAAGAGTGATTAATCTTTGCCCCTTGGAGGCCCCATGCCTCTGTCTAAATTGATGAGCTGAACTGTTAATTTTGGTTAGTAACAAGCACAAAACTGAGAGCTAGGGCAGAACTCATAAAACTTTATAAATATAAAGGGAAGGTCCCACCCTCCTGCCCAGGATGAAATCCTTTTCATGACATACCATCTAGCTTTTGCCTGAACACTTGTATGGAGGAGATAGTTCATTACTTTACAAGGCCTGTTCCATTGCAGTACAGCTCTCATCACGGAAAAGTTCTTTCTTATCCTGAGCTGAAATCCTTCTCGCTGTAACTCCTACCCCTCTAGTTCTATTTCTTAGGCTTTCAGATATTTAAAGAGTGCTGCTATAGTCATTCTAAACCTTCTCTTTTCCAGGCTAAACCCCTTTCCTTCAACCAATCCTTATAATCACATAGTTATCATCTTGATCATTCTTTTCTGAACTCTAATTTATCAATATCCTTTTCCAAAGAACGGAGAATAATACATCCGATATGGTCAAACTAGTACAGGCTACAGTGAGACCTTTTTTTTTTAAATCCATGCTCCATCCTTCCAGTAATGAACTCAGACTTTCAAAGATCATTTGGTACTTGCTTCAGATTACTTACTGGCTTATATGTGGCTGGTTAAAAAGTAACCCTTAAGTTCTTTTCCACATGAAATCCTGTCAAGTTAGGCTCCCCGTGGTAACCCTACACTCAAGAAACTATTCTAATATAAATGTATAAATATATAATAGCACATTTCCTTTTTTAAAATACTCCATGCTGTTTCCACCTACTGTTCTATTTGAAATAATACTAAGTCTTGGTTCTATCATCCTTGGTGTTCTCTCTACTCCCTCTCAGCTGAGCAGCCACCATAAGTTTGATAAATGAGGTAAAAGTACCTTCTGCATTTTCATAAACAGAGCTAGACCAAAAGCAGAGCCCTGCGGCATGCCTGCTGAGACCCCCTTTCCGTTAAGGTCAGTACGGTCCACCTTCGCCGGGCACAGAAGTTTAACTTGCTGCAACAGACCGCTCCCTCTGTCTACCATTCAGAGGCGCTACATGCCACAGATGCCACCTGGGGCCCACAGCCTGAGTGTTTAGCCAGTCCCACCTCAGAGCCTCGAACGAGCATCCAGGAGCCTCCGTATCCTCAGGGGGCCCCCTGTACACCCCACCTCATTCTCCGTTAACCTCTGACACCTACCACCCACTCCTGTCATCTTGCAAACAGATAGTGGTACCCAGCAGCACCCTGTGGGGCTCCCGGGCACAAAAGCCTTTCTGTGCCCCCCACTTCTTGATTACAGGAAATAGGCTTCATTCAGCCTCCATGACCTTCCCTGAGTTCCAGCGGGCAGGTTCAAACAGTTGCTAATCAGGGAAGGGAGGGGATACAGAGGGGATACGGAGGAGCGGTCAAGAAACAATAGTGCAGCCTTGGGGCAGGGTCCTGGATCCCCCTCCAGGGATACACACAACAATGTCCTTGAGCTGTTTTGCAGAAACTGAACCCCCACCGGGTGGGCGAGGTTACGGAAGGATGATGTCGACCCTCCTCACCTCAATCAACTAACGCTTGAACTCTGTCGACCTCTGTCGCAAATTCATGCTGAATTCTCCCCAGCTCAAGCCCCTCGTGAATACGCATGAATACCCTTAGCTTAAAACTTCCCCAGTTTTGCTGTGGGGGAAACACTGCTTTGGGATAACTCCTTCTTCCTTCGTCCGATCTTTAGCTTGGTTGTATCTTTTGGTTGACACCCACCAAGAGGCGAACCCACCTTTCAGGTACCACTCTGATGCCACACATGCATCCCCGGCCACGCCGTTTTCCTCGGGCACAAAATACCCTTTCCCCTCTCGCTCCACACCGTACCCGACCTTTAGAGTGTGCCTCAGGTGCCAAGTCCACTCTGACATCTTCCCAACGGACTTGGTTTCCACACACTGACTTCTTCCCCTGCTGGACACCAAAAGCCTTTAGAATCGGTCCCCTCTACTCGGGTCGAGGGGGAGCATCCTCCTTCTAATCCGTGTTTGAGCACAGAGGTCTGGCGGGCCCCTATTTCTCTGCAGTTTCCCACAGTTCTCATTCGCGGCAAAAGCACCATCTTCCTCGAACATTTTCCCCACCCACTGTAATCGCTGTTCCCATCCCTCCCTCCTCATGCGATCTTACCTTTCTTCCCGCACCCGAGGACTCAGGAACCTGCTAGAGTCATCGTCATGGCTGCTCTGCTGGCTGCTGAGAAAAGACAGGATGTGAACCGTTAACGTTCGGCTTCTTTCTCAACCCTGGGGGAGAGCATCTAGACTTCAGCTCAATGGAGAAACGGGGTTACAACATCTTAAAGGGAGACGTTCCCCGGCTAAGTTTACACAGAGGGTATACTGCCAGACGGTGGAACTGAGACACACATTTGGTGAAAACCCCACCCATCATACCTAAAGCACATAGAGGAAGATCCTGACCTATCACCTTTTTCTTCCCAGGCCACACAGTCTCTGAGAGTGAATGCCTCTGGCATTCTCTGTACCTGGGCCTCTAGATCTGTAGGACAGAATAATCCCATTCTTCCGCCTCCCCTGAGACACTCAAGGTGCTGGCTTGCAGCCTTGTGGGCAGGAAGGGGAGGGGTGCGGGCACGAGGGAATTCCAGCAGGAGAAAGACTTGAGACTTGATGGAGTCTGGGGCCACGTGGCCTGCTTCCCCACCTCCAGGGAAGGCTGAAGAGGGTGAGGGACGAAAGAGGGATTAGAAGGTGGAGTCCCTCCACTCCTTAAAGCCCTGTAGGCACGAAGATTATAGAGCTTCAACTCACAAGAGTTCTTGAAGTGCTTACTTTAAATGACTGTGGAATTCAACAGTCATTCATCCTACTCAAGAGAAAGAAAAGCCGTTCAGACACCTTATGACACTAACTGAACATAAAGCTGGTGAACAAATAATTTTTATTAATTGCTAATTATTAAGTACTCCAGGTTTCTAATCAAGAGTCTGGAGCCCCCGTGGGCTAAGAATGGTGTTTGCTTTTTTAAATGGCTGGGAATAAACATTTTTTAAATGATAATAATATTTCATGACATGTGAAAGTTATATGAAATTCAAAATGATGTCATAAATAAAGTTTTATTGAAACACAGCCACACCCATTCATTAACATACTAACCAGGGCTGCTTTTTTGCTACAATGGCAGAGCTGTGCAGTTAAGGCAGAACTGAATAAGTGCAGTAGTGAGGCCATTAGACTCACAAAGCCTAAATATTTACTGTATGGCCCCTTACAGAAAAAGTTAGCAAACCCCTGTTTGGCGTAGATTCCATTAATAATAAATTCCTATTACCATAAATGTCACTATAACCCAGGCCCAGTACAACCAAACTTGTTCCCTTGTTCTGGTGGATTGTTCACAGCCATAAAAAGCACTGCTCTCTACAGAGTACACTCCTTAGACTAGATCCCCAGAAGATGGCAAACTGTGAACAATCTTGTAGGGTAAGTGCCTGCCCCCAGTGACTGTACACTCTCCACCAAAGAAGCACGTGATTTTACAACCACGCTCTCATGTTCTGATTTTTCAGCAAGAAGTAAATGAACTTAGAAGCAATTTACATCAAATTTTCAAATACACACACACACACACACACACACGCCAGAAATCAGAGCAGCACCGCACACAAAGCTTCCAGTTGCTTGGCACAACCAAGTGTGTACACGATCCTGTGTTTTCTTTTACTCTATACAAAGCGCTTTTTTTTTTGCCGCTCATTCCCTGGGGAGAACATGTGGCTACTCGTCATTCCCTCTTTGCAAGGTCTCATAGACTTGCCTTTTAAAAACTCCTTGTAACAAAATTATACTGCTGTGTTGCTAACCCATGGGATTTCTTATATTGGGACTGACCTGTCGTATGTATCAAGCACCCTCTTCTATACAACTTGGAATAGGTGTTAAGGCTACAGTAGGCAACCCACAGATGACTGGAACTCAAATTCCACAGCAGACTCAGCTCCAGAGGCAAGAATCAAGAGAGAAAAACCAAAATAACAATAATAATAATAATTTAAAAAGAAAAAAAAAAGAGAGAGAGGAATACCAGTCTACACCGTTGGCAGTACATTTGAGGAGAAGTAGGAGGGAGGGCTGTCTGGAACCCAGTGTTTTACACTATCTAACACCCAAAGGGGCTCAACCAACCCAATGACCACAATCAGCATTACGGCCTCTTCACAGAAGAGATCAAACTGGACTCCATTTAAGCTATCTATAATGGGGCTGTGCTTCCTTCTCACCCTACCCTCACTCTGGCAATCAAGGCTTAAAGTAAAGCTAATAGAGGGGCTCCCAGAACTAAATGAGAAGTACCAGAGTTTCAGAAAAATAATTCTGAGCTGATTTTAGCAAGTTATCTCACTAGATGGCACTGCTGACTTCCAAACCAGAACCTGAACGAGGCCAAGCCATCCAGCTTCTGAAACCAAAACTAGAACCAACTTTCTGGCGCCCCCTTCTGGCCTTCCCATTGCTTAGAAAACCTTTCAGAGGGTGGAGATGAAAAGTTAACAATGGATCACCTTCAAACAATTTATTGGTTCTAAATAACTAAGAAATATCAACGTGCATGCATTCAACAAGTATTTCTCCAATGCTCTCTATGTGCACATATGTCAAAAGGCAGCATCCAAGTTAAGTCAAGACCTTGGAATACGCTGCCTCAGGTTACATCCAACTTCCTCCACTTCCTGCTTAACACAACCCTGAGCAAATTATTAGTCATTTTCCTTACCTACAAAATGGAGATAGATGTTACAATAGTTCTTACTGTTGTAAGGATTAAAGAATGTAAAGCTGTTGTAAGAATTAAAGAATGAACATATGTGAAGTATGGAGAATACTGCTTGGCACATACTAACTGTTGTACAAATGCTATTATTATGTGCAAGTCATCGTTTTGTGGGTCATGGAAAATAAAGACATGAATCAGACAGGGATCCTGCTCTCAAGGTGTTTACAATCTGGAAAGTAAGAGTCAATATAAACTATAATTTTAAACTACATTTAAAAGTAGAAAATGATAACTCTTAGAAGTAAATATTAAAAGCTACAGAAACATAGACCAGAGAAAGATCACTTCCTTCTGGGGCTGGTAAGAGAAGACCATCTCAACAGCAAGGGTTTTTTTGCTGACACTTGAAATTTGAACAGATTCAGGATGAGCAGAACTGAGAAGAGAGGGCGTTTTTTTTTTTTTTCCTTAATTTATTTGGCCACTCCGCGTGGCTTGTGGGATTTTAGTTTCCCAACCAGGGGCTGAACCCAGGCCCCCGGCAGTGAAAGCGCAGAGTCCTAACCACTGGACCGGCAGGGAATCCTGAAAGGGCATTCTGGTTCAGCTCGGCTCACCACACATTTACCACCTACCAGGCACTGTGCTAGAAGGCTGGGACGTAAGGAGCCCCAGTATAGGAGGCACAAGTGTTCCCTGAGCACTGCGATGCAGCAACACCGGAAGGATGAAGGGGCGCAGGTCGCAGACACTTCTGCTGGGGAATTTCAGGCAACATATTGGAGAGGAGAACGTAGAACAGAAGGAACTACAGGTAACTCCACAGCAGCAACAGCTGCAGCACGCATGGGCTCCCTCCTCCTCTAGACACCCCCCTGCCTCACCACCCGCCAAAGGAGCCTGGTCCTCTCTCCTCCCATTTTCAGAACTTTTTTCCCCACCGTCTTTAAAGGTGAGATAGACGCCAACCACTACCACTCTACCCAACCCCACGAAATGATCGTTGTTGAGCAGAGATTCAGACACGGCCTTGCTCTCTGGCAAAATTCTCAGCTCCTCTCTTATATGAGCCTTTTCAAACAGTACAGACCACCTGGACACTGGGCAGCTCACCCTGCTCCCTAAATGAATCTGCCAGTCTTCTGAGGTCATGCAGAAGAGCCGTCACCACGGTAGGGTGCTTGCAGAGGGCTGTGGAAGGCCAGAGGTCAAGGGCCACGTCCACAACCGCTCCATTTCAGTCAAGGCCTTGGAGGGACAGGTGGCCAGTGCGGGCTCTACAGCTTAAGGAAGCTGAGAAGAACTTGAAGGAAGTCCGGCAGAGGGCGCTCACGGATGAAAACGTCTCTTAGAAAGTCTGAAAAGAAACTCCAAACACCGATTTGGAATGACTTAGCCTGGGCACCAGATGCCTGAAAGTCAGCTTAACACTGCAAGGAAGGGAAGTTGTATAAGCAACCGTTTGCCTTTCCCCCAAAAGAGCTAGAAAACGCATGAGGATGACTAAAATCCCTCCTGCTGTAAATTCAAGCTGCTGATAAAAACCACTCTAGAAATTAAATTTTGAAACAGCACACTGTAAATACGGTGGGGAAGCGCTTCTGTGCGTCCCGCAATGTTCCGGAGGGAAAACAGCTGAAGCGAATCGAATCTGGAGTCCTGGTTTTGTTCTCTGCCAGCAAGCTAGTGCTGGGAGCTTATCCTAGAAGGTCACACTGAACCAGTAACTCTGGCTGGGAAAAATCCATTGTAATCTGAGGCAGAGCACACTCCAGAGGCAGAAATTCACAGGATGCCGAGCTAGCAGGAAGCTCCGCAAGGCAGGCTGGGTAAATTCCCATGATTCCACTGGTCTCCCTTCCTCCCTCCCCCACCCCCGGGCACTGGCAGGGAGGTCAGCCTAAACCCACAAGCCACCAGGAAGGTGTCCTTCTGCCCTCTGCAAAGTACAGCTTCACTCCTGTGGAAACTAAATTTGGCACTTTTTCTGAGCTGGTGCTTCCTAAGTAGAAACAGTTCTTTCTCGCCCAGACAATACTAATGGGGTCTCCTAAGCCGGGAAGGGGTTTTGGGAGATTCAGGGGATTCCAAGCAGTTATGGGGCTATGCGAGATGTCATTTAGTATTTCCAGAGCCTAATGGAACCTGTACATTTACCCACACTAAGGCTGTGCACTCATTTTTCGCATTTCTTTGTTTTTGGCTCTAATCAGAGCAATCTAGTGTGTTAATACCAATTATCTTATGCTAATTAGAAGCTCTGAAAAGCTCAGAGTGGCTTTGATTGATAAATGTCTGATTAATAAAAGTGGGGGATATGTATACGTATGACTGATTCACTTTGCTGTACAGCAAGAAACTAATAACACGATGTTGTAAAGCAACTATGCTCCAATAAAAATTAATTAAAAAAATTTTTTAAAGTGGGGGAAGAAATTTAGTGGATGTAGTAGAAT